AAACATAGAGTTTACATTTATATCTTGGATTTCTAAAAAATCTGTTATTATTTATTTTATTTTATTTATAACAGAAATGTCTGCCAAGAACGTGAACTTCTCCATTGACGAAGTGTCTTTCAAGCCCAACAATCATGTGGCGCTTCTAGACATTCCGGCCAATAAATCATACGACGAGGATGCTGCTAGATTCCTTAAAAACTCTCCAATCTCCTTTGTTATCTCCCATGAACATGTCATGGTGAAAGAAGCCCTTCAACAGTTTTGGCTCACTGCTGTAGTGGTGCAAGAGACTGACAAGACTTGTAAACCGGTGGAAAAAAATTCCTTCACCTTTAACAGGATGACCGTCAGTTTCGGTGTAGCCACACTGAGGATCGCTCTCCATCTACCAAAGGGTCCCTATGCCAGTGAACCTTCCACTGAAGATATCATCTCCTACTTAGATGATATTGGCTATGCCTGGCCAACAAAGAAGAACTCCAGCGATCCACTCAAGTCGCTCTCGAAGATTGAGAAGAACCACATGTCAGCAGTATGGCAATATTTGTTTTCAAATTTCATTCAATGTATGGAAGGCAAAACTGGTGGCAAGATCAAGCATCCAGAGTTGCATTGAATATTGGCGTTTCTATCATTCACAAGAAGCCAATCAACTTTGTTGGCGTTATCTTTGAAGACATGGTGTTGAAGTTGAACAAGCGCCAAAGGGAAAAAGTGGTACCTTACACCAGATTTCAATCTACGGTGTTTGCTAAGTTCGTTAGCAACAAGTACTCCACGGAAGGTAACCTAGATATCTGCAGGCTTGGATCCAGAATCTTGGATCATAAGCCTAAATCTGAAGATGTTGCTACTTCCTCCCTTCTACCTCGCAGCACACATTGCAATACTTCTTCATCTTCTGCAACTGTGCCTGCATATCCTTCTTCTTAATTTTCTCCAACTGTGCTGTTATGTCCTTCTTTCCTTGCTCCGATGGTCAAGACTATGGAAACCCCCCCCCCCCAAAGTCTATCCCAACCACCACCACCCTCTCTTCTAGAAGATCCTCCTCATAAACCACGCTTGGTTCTCCATCGAGGGCCAAGAAAGCCAAAAATGGGATAACCACATCTCTGGTTGTTACCTCTCAAAAGGTTCCAGTCATTGAAACAAGCCTTAACCCCGAGGCAACTTCAGTTGTAACCCCTCCTAGCTCTTCAGTGATTTCTTCGGTCACTGTCGTACATGTGGCTTCTCTCCCAACCACCTAAGTGACCCAAATCACTGAAGGTGTGAATATCAGCATAGCCAATGTTGATCATCCACTTTCACCTCTCTCAGCCATCTTTTCTTCTCCTCCTTCTTTGGTCTCGAGACATGTTAGTCATTCATCATTGATTGTCCTCACTGATGAGGAAGAAATCACCAAAGGAATTGAGGTTGCTTCTCACGAAACACCTCAATCAATGGAAGCCTGTCCTCTCGAAGGCAACCAAGAGAGAACCAGCATCAATCCTTCAAATGGTGCTTGTGACCCCTCAGGTAATCTTCCAACCTACCCCTTTATTTCTTCTAACCCCGAGCTATCTTATGCTCAACCTTCTTCGTGTTCAGGTCCTTGCGATGAAGGAACGCCAACCATGGAAGAAGACTACAACATGGCTAATGACGTGAAGTTGATTATCCCGGCAATAGAGATTGTCTTAATCAAAATGGACCAAGTCCATACAGACATGCCTCTGAGGGATGATATTTCCTCTGACCTCTCAACTGTCAAAGCTTACGTCAATGACGTAAAGAAACTACTATCTACGATGCAAGCTGATGTACGCACCAACACTGAGGCTATCTCTACTCTCAACAGCAAAGCCGATGAAGCGCAGGATCAAGTTACCAAGCATGGTGAGATGATGCACCGGATACTGGATCTTCTCCAACGTCCAGTGCTGGTTCCTACACCCTCCTTCACAGCTATGGATTTCCTATCACTGGATTAAGCTCTCGAAGTCGGTCTTCTTAAACTTGATCTCTGCTCGTGCTTGAATAGAGAATGGACATTATAGCTTTAAGTCTTGATAATCTCTTATCTCGTCATGCTGTTGACAAAGATGGGGATAAAGACGTGGTTGTTGTTGTCCCTACAACACCAGCTGATGCTGAAGCTGAGGTTTTTGATGATGCCGTCAGAGCTGATGCTCAAGCTCAAGACGAATAACTTCCTATCACCCCTGCAGCTGATGAGGAAGATGAAGCTGAAGATGACGATGACTCTCCATCCCTTTCTGATGCAGGAAAAGATCTTTGTGGTGATGATGATGAAGGCGACGATGAAAACGACTTCACCATTAAATACCACAAACCAGCCAGCGCTCTGAAAGGAGTCTCTTTCATGGATTCATCATCCCAAGGGGAGAAGGAGAAAGAAAAAGAGAAAGAGACTTCCACAAAGAACCAAAACACCTCCTCCAAAGACAAAGGTGTTGCTGAAGAAGGAAATCTGAAAGTTCTCTTAAAACCTGTTGTACCTCAAGAATATACTGAATCCTCCAGGTTTGCCATAGTCACCTCCCTATTTCAACTCTCTTATACTATTCCTTCTACTTCATGTGGTCTTCTAGAGGAATGGGTACCTGAAAACCCAACTTCTAGTGTTTTTAACGATCAACAGATGACTCAGCTTAAGGAGTCACTCGACCAAACTAGAGTAAACATTTCTCTCTGTACCTCTAGTTGTGGTGAGTTTGACTTCCTTATAGAAGCTGAAAGACTCGAAGCACTCAAGGCTGAGGAAGAACTCCAAATTCAACGACAACAGACTGAGGACAGCCTCAAGCTGGCCAAGTCTCTTGGTTCTCAAGTTCTTCCAAAGTAAATGTCTAAAAAGATAGTGAATGCTGTCAAGGCCCAAGCTAAATTGCTTTCAATTGCAGAAGCTGAACATTAGAAAGTAATGAAGTTGAATGACCGAGAAAAGAAATGGAGCGAATATCGTTTAAATAAATGAATAAGTCCTCATCACATCTCAATCAATGGACGAATGAAAAATGGTGGACTGCTCATCGCGATGTTCATCTCTAGAGCCAACCTTTGAAGCTGTTCCTGAGTATCCTTCCTACCTTGGACAATATGGCTACAGTGAATGGTTGGAAATCTGTTAAGCCATTCAACGCTCAAAGTCAAGGCACAAGTCAATAATTGAAAGCATCCTCAGCAAGCTGATCAAGATGTCCAAATTTGTTGTTGTACCTACAAATCTGACATTGATGAAAGATGGAAGAAGAAAACCTTCAGATCCTAATGATGGACCAACTCTGAGGAACGAACATGGAACAAAGTTCTCCCTGGAGGATGTCCTGAAGGATACGAAGAAGCCAAACATCTCTATGTTGAACCTATCTTTGCCAATGAAGGGTCCTTACACACCTAACACTGTGCATCTAAAGCCTGAGCTTGGATTCATATTCCTTGATTATGAAGGTGAACACAACTTTTAAAGAGTGTTTGAGCTCGATCTTTTTCTGATAGAACATCTTGATTATCTAAGATATTGGTTGGAAATGACCTTTATGGTGAGATGATAGACCGAAAGATCATAAAAGAATTTCTACCTTGAAATATGCTTGGAGAAGAAGTACCTAGTTACATTGACTTTAGCGGCTTAGATTAGTTAGAATTTTCTGTCTTGTAAATCAAATGAAGCTTGCCATGCATGATTGTTTTTGTCTTGTCCTTCCACACACAAAGGACAAACCCATACCCTCTCAAGAGTATAGTACTGTACGGAGCCGACTAGGCGACTCTAGTGTCCACCAACTCCATGAAAGGATGTCTGCTCGTGAATAGATAATACTACTATTCACTGTAGCAAAGAACAAGCTTCCTCTAAAAGCTTGATGCGTATTCTACCTCTTCTAAATTACATTTAATGTAATGGGTATAAATAACTGAGTGCTCTCTTCACTCATGCACAACACAACAAAACACATACATACGCTTATCTTCAAGCAAGTTAGAATTTCTCTCAAATTCTAAGGTTCATACACAAGAATAATACCTTTCTGTCTTTATCTTTTTCGGCAAATTTATTATATTTTTCTAAGTATAGCTGTGTGTAATTCTAGATTGTTTTAGATAGGTTTTCTTTACCTTTTCTATTTTTGCAAACAATCTGTAAAAATCTGTATTGATCTTTCTATATCAATATATATTTTTAAAAGTGAAAGTTTATGTGTTTGTATTCATACCCCCCCTTTTACAAACTATTCGCCTCTAAACTCTTGTAGATCTGGCTGGGACAACAACCCTCTACCACATTCACACGTGCATGCACAAAAGCATGCAAACACACACACACACACACACACATATATATATATATATATATATATAACATGTGTATGTAATATATTTTTTTGATTAACCAAGATATCCAACCCGTTATACAAGCCGACTAATCCCAGGACGACCACCTGTTTCGCAGATAGTCCGGAGTCACCGCATTTGAACCTCCGTGGGCAGGAGGGGATTTTTATTTCTCTTTGGATTTAAACCTAAGACCTCTAGTTACTTTTGACCTTTGGAAGCAAACTCAAACTAATTAGGCACCACATTTATGGTTAAAATTAAACTTTTCAAAGTATTTGTAATATTATAAGATACATAATATATAATATGCTTTTAAATTGTAAAAGAAAACTAAGAAAATATATAAAATGACTAGAATACCGCACATTTAATTAAACTTTACAAAAAAAATTAAAGGATCTTAGGAGAAGGGATCAAAACTCTGGGAAATTGACAAATGCCAGCGATCAAAATCGAGTTTATGAAATTTTGGGGTCATATCTTTTGAAAAATGCAAAAGTTAGGGACCGACGTTGAACTTTACTATTATTTTTAAGATATTGTTGGTTTTTGTATGATATCCAAGCGTCGATCACATGGGTGGTTAACTAGAGATTCGGAGAGTTTGTTACCAAGACGTACGACATTGATTCCGGAAAGAAAACATCTCCGATTGTTGGATAATTGTAGCGTTGCGGTGGCATTAATGGCGTCCGGCGCTGCTCATTTTGGTTCATTCTCGTAGCCTACTCCATTTTGTGTTTGTATCCTTGCTTGATCAGGCATGGCGTACCGTCGACGACAAGGAGTTTCTAGGTCTTCGACGTTTAAGGAAGAGATTTATCATCCTCCGAACAATGACGCCTCCTCTTCCTCCTCTGTCATCACCTCTCCGTCATCATCTCTCGCCTCTCAGGCGATTCGAGCTTCTATCGCTCACCGAAGTTCTTCTCTCTCCTCTGGTTATGCCAATTCGGCATTTCAAGACAGATCCAAGGTTTTCTATACTTTTTATCTTCTACCCCAAACAATTCTGCGTAGAAATAAAATGAACCCCATTTTAGGATTTTTTTTTTCGTTTTTCCTTAGCCACATTCATGTATGATTATGAAACAAAGTTACTTAAGTAACTTCCCTATTTGTAACCAAGGCATTATGAATTAAGAATCCTTACGAGCCAGAATTTTGCAACATTTCTAGCTCAAGTTTTTTTGCACGCAGGTTTGTGTTTCCTTTCAATAAATTAATTTTATAAAAATTAGGATGAAACTTATAGCTATTTACAAAATATGAGGTTTTAGAAACCTAATAATTCCGTAAACTTCATGACATCATTGAACTCTTGGCTACTTTATTTGTATGCATTTTTGAACTTAATCATCTTCTTTAACTGTTCATATATTGTCTACAAAACTAGGTTACATATTTGTTTCTTGAATCTTATTTATATAATGTGAAGAAAATGAAAATGCATGTATATGTGACTTGTAAAAATTATAAATGGAGGAAAATGGTATAAACGGCTAGCTACTCAGTGCCCTCTGGCCCTGTGACAGCTGTGGTACAATAGGCTAGTAGCCATTTTCTTTCTGCTTATATGATTGCAGATACCTGTTAAATGTTAACGAAGGGATCTGCTAAATATGACTACATATCAACGAGAAGTATCCCGGACCCTACCTCTCTATGTGTGATAAACTTGGTTGGCATAGTTTGGTTATATCAATGAAAAAGATGAAAGAACCAGACGCGTTTGGGTGTTTTAGCTAGGATGATAGTCAACACCCTCATTTACCCAAACCCTTACGGGTGATAACCAACACTCTCATTTACTTAGCAGTAAAATTCTAGTATATCAAAACAGTATCGGTTGCAATAATTTATCTCGTAAGCTCTAAAAAGGTAAGACTCTTGGTCCTTGCCATCTCTCTTACCGGGTACGATTTTGGTCATTGCCATATACATCTAGTAACGTAATTGACCAGTAAACGTTTACCGGGCAAGTGTTAGGTAAATGACCCTTTAATCCAAATAATTTGAAACTCAGTCTCTACATGCAGACATATTTGCTGAATGTTACTACCTCCGTCCTAAAATAATTGCAATATCTGAAATGACGTATAGTTAATGAAAATGTTGGTGTAAAATTACAAGGAATGATTTGTTCTTTAACTTGTTATCAGGAAGGGATTACCATTGTAGACAAGAGAACTCACAATATCAAAGAAGTTTGCGAGCAGAACATATTTGCTGAATGTTACTACCTCCGCCCTAAAATAATTGCAATATCTGAAACGACTTATAGTTAATGAAAATGTTGGTGAAAAATGACAGGAATGATGTGTTCTTTAACTTGTTATCAGGAAGGGATTACCATTGCAGACAAGAGAACTCACGATATCAAAGAAGTTTGCGAGCAGAACAAGAAAACTGAAACAAATCATGAAGAATTTGGTATGCAGAATGATTGGCAGGATGCTAGACCAACAAACCATGTGCATCAACTCAAGGCATCTCGCGACGTAAGGTGGCAAATGTGTGATTGCATATGATCAATTATATGAAATTTTTTGTTGAGTTTGTCTCTACATAAGAAGTTGGATTGACATCCTAACTTTATCACCCCTGGCCGGTAATGTCCTATTCAAAAGTAGGGTCCCGTTGTGGGATGCACACATATTGTTTTCCAACCTAGAAGGGTATGGATTTAGGATGCACACATATTCAAAAGGGATGTGGGAATCATTTACTCAAAACGCATTGCATTATCACCTTCACATGTTTTTTTTTCTTGGGCCTTCATAATTGATTCTAGTTGTTGCTATTTGCTTGGCGCCACAGGTAGCCATTGCAACAGCAGCTAAAGCGAAGCTTCTTCTTCGGGAGATTAAAACTGTTGAAGCAGACTTAGCTTTCGCAAAACAAAGAAGTTCTCAGCTAGAAGAAGAAAATAAAATGCTTCGAGAGGCTCGTGAAAAAGGAGACCACCCTGGAGATGATGACATGGTATACTATTTTCATAAAAACAATCACCTGCACCCATTTTTCATGTCCCCTCCGTTCTGCCAATCATTATGAGACTCATCTTTTTTCATCTAAATATATATGTTTAAGTTAGGGGAGTGCTAATGGCGCCCCTTGATAGGGGTGTTGAATGCATGAGGATTTGAAATTGCTTTAACAACTATCAAAATATCAAACTCAATCATCATATTATATTTTATTACTATTATTATAATTATAATTATTGTTATATATATATATTACATATCTATAAATATATTGTATATTATCATTATAAATATTTTAAGTTATATTATATAACTATTGTTAT